GGGGCTTCACAAGTACATAGGGTGGTGATGGTGCAGTGGATAAGACACATGTCTTTGGTGGGAGAGACCTGAGCAAGACACTTAACCCCTAGTTACTCCAGAAGCGTGCGACCTCTGACATATATAGCAATTATAAATCGCTTCGGATAAAAGCGTCAGCTAAATGAATTAATGTAATGTACGCTCTTGTTGCATTGCTGCAGTTTTGGTGGATATCAGTCTGTCCTGGTTTCTCAGTGTCTTTAACACGCGGAGACACAGCTTTTAAGCATATCACTTCCACTTAAATTAATGAATTCCAATGAATTAATGAATTTAATTCAAATTCAAAAATCTATTTCTATATCCGTTTCTGCTTGACTTTGAAATAAATCTAAAATAAAGACTTTAATTAGAATCCAGGAGAGATTTTTACTTCAGGTCTGACTTCAGCTCCACTGAGATGATACATTTGGTTTTCTGCTCAGCTCCTCTATAAAGATCTGTACTGATGCTAATAATCCATCAGTCTCCTCATGACTTAACCTGTGCTTCACCTCAGAGTACATGCAGCTGAATATTCAGTCTATTACTAGAGTAATAGGCAGCAAGCGGAGGAAAGCGCAGCCCCTTCTCCCCATCTGTCATTACTGTCAGAGCAGCCGAAGCACAGAGGGCCAATGAAACTAATTCAGACATGATTAAGGAAAAAAATCTGGGCAAAGGATGAATCATCTTGCTTTTGCTAAGAATTTGGACTCGCAAGAATCAGAGCGGCTCCGCATCAGATCCGATACCCTGTCCGAACACGTGAACACGCTGAAATTCACAGCACACACACACACTCTCTTCCCGGTCTGAGGGGGAGGGCACATTTATCCTTTTCTCTCTCGCTGGTCTCTGTGCTACTGGAGCAAAGGCTAAAGGAGAAGAGAGGACACAAGAGGGAACACACAGTTCCTCCCTTCACTCTGGTTTTTTTTTTTGGAAAGGAAATAGTCCACTGGTGCTGCCTCGTATCGAATAACATCGTGCTGCAGTGTGTGTCAGTGACTAATATGGCAAATGGAATTATCAGAAGATAATTGAAGTAGGCAGAGAAAGAATCCACGAATCATAACAAATATTCTGTAATAATAAAAAAGGACAAAAACTGAATGAATGAATCATCAGAGGCAAATCTACAGGGGGAAGAAAACAAAGTTGGATTCTATCAAAACTCCATTTGTTCCCTCTTTGCTGCGTTTGCCTCCAGCTTTTTTCTCTGCTTCACGTTTCTGCTGGGGATGATGTTCAATATGTCACGTTAAAAGTATTCAAACACCCCTCCAAACAAACTTGCAGTGGCTGCAATATTTCGTTTGGTTAGGTTGTGTATTAGATGCCTTTTTTTCTTGACTCAGTCCATTTTTACTGGGAAAAATAACACGGTCCAATTTAAAGAATTTATTATAACGCGTATTCTTTTAGTTTGAAGCTGTCAATAGCTAATTTTGTGCACTTCATCCTCAAAAAACAAACATCATCATGCACATGAAGTGTAATATCTGGGCCCTTTCAGGAGTTTGGAGCCCAGATTAATTGCTGATTAAAGCAGGTTTAATACATATTCTTCCCCTACATCATTGTAGCAGTGGGCAGCGCTGACTTTTTAATCAAAGGCTAAAATCAGCATGATTTATCAGTGACATTTTAGAGCAGAACTTCAGTGGAATTGCTATGATCAGTGCCTTTGCTTGTAAATTCATGCAGAGCTTTCACACAGAGATGAACTTTGACACATAAATTCACTGACACTGACCGATTGCAAACTGTCTTTACAGTGCTGACCTTTGATGGAACAGAATGGAAGATACATTAGCTTTGCTGGAGTACAAATAACTGCAGGAGAATCGCCTGATGCCAGCTGTTATTTTTGCTTTCTACATTATCTATGTGAGGCAACTACAGTAAAGTAGTGGTTGGTGGAAGTGGTTAAGGCAAACTATACCTAAACTGATTCAGGTATGGTTAACTAAAACATCTGCTTAAGGTTCAGGAAAGACCGTTACTCCTGGTGATAAAAAGGTGAACAGTCTGTGATGGGACACAAACTCTGGCCTCAGGCGTATCACATGCCCACCCACAAACCTGACTTCTGTAACAGTATTTTCTTCTCCTCACTACAGAAAGGCCACACAACCTCCTACTTTGGCACTGAACGTTGGTATCAGAGGCAAACCCTCAGCTTTGGAATATCTAGTATGGATGTAATTCCTAGGGACACTGTGTTTCAAAACTACACAAAAGAGAAAGAGCCTGGTTTGCAGTCAGTCACGAGACAGGAGTTGAAGATACAAATTCACTGTCCAGCTAGTTAACTGAGTGTCGTTTAGTGGCCGAGACTTTCTTAAACTACCTGTTTTGCAAGGAAATGTAAAGGAACTTTGCTGTGCCACTTTCTAGTCTAACCGGGCAAAAGGAAAGTTGGGACAGGATTAATGCTAGTTTGAATAAAAATTCGACTCCTCCATTATGTTGTTCCAAGGCAGCACTGACAGAAGACTTTTGGAAAAAGGCCAAAATCAGTCAGACTTACCCTTTTGCCCTTTCTAGTGGCGTTAGAAACTATTTTGAAAATGTCAAACATGCTTTGCTATCCAGCTCAGTTAAATTTTCTCATTTCAGCTATAAAATATGCAACTGTACAACCCTGATCCTGTTGACCACCTCAGCTGCATGAAAATTATGGAGCACAAAGATCCCTGAAATCTGAATATGGACAAAAGGTCACTGTAGGAGACGGCTGAAATGAAGCAGGATGACCTTACAGTGCTGAGATGAGTTTAGAAAATATAAATCAAAGGTGGAAATCTAATGAAAAGGGCCGTCAAGGAGCTATAAATCCTGCCCACACAAAGCAGTTAGAGCCACATCACTGTAAAATCACACAGCATCTCTCTCACTGAAAAGGTTTACTCAAGTCACGTCTCCCCTGTTTCAAAGAGCCCCGCACATACCCAAAAAAGCATAAAATCAAACTAATCATGGTACCAGTAATTGGTTAGATGGTAAATTAAGCACTCCAAGCAATAAACAAATCAACCCTTTTATAGACGGAGTAATTGTTGCACATTTTAAAGGTTTTGAAAATGAACTCTTCACTTGCTCCAACAATCAACGTAAAACTATATAAATGCCAACAGCATTGTTGAAAGGTTTGCTGTTCTGTTCTGTCTCTGTGGTGTGTGTTTGTGTGTGTCTGAAGTTAAATAAACCATAGGAGGTGGTCATGGTCCCCAAAACAATGATTCTATTCTAACATAGTTAAATCTGCTCTACAGGCACTGTTATATGTTGAGACCAGTAAAACTCCAGACAACGTGTTCGTGTTTACTGACTCGACCAGTCTGAGGTGTTTTTCTCTGATGGACTTGACTTGCCTTGATTGAGGTTAATGATCCCCATTGTAAAATACAGCAGGTACTATTTTCATACTACAATTTACTCACAAAACATCCATTGGATAGTCTACGTATTTAAAGTTTTGGTTCACCCAGAGTGCCAAAGGTTTTTCTGAGCTAACCCTTTGATTGCTACTGCATATGTAATGAATACAAATGTATGTATTTAAGAGACAGCCATTTCTTTATAACTCAAATCTTTACTCCAGTGGTATAAACCACTGACTCTTGTTATCCCGGTCTAACTGCCTGATAGACCCTTAATGCTGAAGCTTTGAGCCCTTTGACTCTACCTTTGTCTATCATATGGCCCACGTCATATCTGACCTCTTTGAGTCTCTCCCAGGGCTGTTTTGGATATAAAATGAAATATGATTTCCAATCGGTCACCTGATCAGTCACGAACACCTACAACTGGTATCAACATCTCTGTCTGCGCGTCCTGTGACTTCACCATGTGACCACCACTTTACTTTGGCACCTCTCAGTCTGCAGGTAAAAGTGGGAGGAGGACACAATAACACAAACACTGCATAATGCTGTGCAATGCAGCGGAACAACACCACAAGCCGCAGCCTCAGAAACGACCACAGAGTTGAACCAACACATCTGCTGCAGAATCAGAAAAGGTATACAGAAGGACACAGAGTGAGATTTAAACATGAAGAACAAAAGCTTAACAAAATATTAGAATCTTAGTTACAAGTGATACTGGTTGTACCACACAAAGCATAAGCAGTAAGTAATATGCAGAATGTAACAGTGATAAATGGAGATATAAAAAGGCTGCATACCAACCGGGCAAAACAGACAACGGCTCTGGGGGCCCCAGACTCTCAGAGGCAGCAACGGCGTGTAGGGCCAGAATATTTTCACATCTAATGCAGTAAATTGAGGGTTCATCTCGAACAAACCAGAGCTGGTGATTGTTGGAACAGTGGAAAGACTAAACACAACAGTTTCAGTTTCTGTGGCGTTTGAATGAAGTTTGTTAGTGTTGAGTTAAAAAGGAGATTTGTTTGTGAAAGAGAGAAACTTGAATTCAGAAGGTGTATGGTTGTATTTCTTTATTTCATAAGGAAAATAGTTTTGAGAGTATTTCCTTTCTTGACACTTTGTGAGTTTATTTAGTTTATTTATTTGACTACATTAGGCACATCGCCCAGCTGAAACTACAACAATTCATCATCAGTTTGGCGCTTTGTTTTAAATGTAATGCAGTTTTCTAAGAACATGCATTTTCTTTGAGTACAGATTGTTCTTTCAGGCTATTTATTGTGTCCCATCTCTTTTAATCATTAACCCGGATGAAAGGTGCAGCCTGGGAAATCATAGGTAAAGTCTGATCTCTACACCAAATTATTGAATTGATTATTGCTATTATTAAATGGGAATCGTCTAATGAAGAAACATGAACATACACAGCGTTTTATTGGTGGGTTTTTAACCACATATTTCTGAGCCTCCTCCTGTGCGCAGCGCTGCTGGGCAGCTCTCCAAAAAGGCGTGGTCAGTGACGTCGTCTAATCAACCAAACCTGAACCTGGCACTTTGGAGACTTGGGGGGGGGGCGAAGGGAAATATTAATGGCACGTCAGGAATGAAGACGTTCTTGGAGGAATAACGCGGAGGAATACGCGCCGGGTTCATGTGATGTCCCTATACAGTTTTACTTTTACGCGTCACGGGTCTTGTTTTTTTCTGCCTTCACTGACTGTTTGCAGCAGCAGCGGCGGGAACGGAGGAGCTGAAAACCGACAGAACTCCACAAGCAGCATCTGATCTGTTCCTCTGACCACCGCCTGGACCGACTGACAGGTTTGTGACCTGAAACAATATGTTTTTATTTCTAACTTTTCCATCAAGAGAAGCAGAGGGACAGTTTGACACGGGTGCATTTGAGAGTAAAACTGACCAGGCTGGACTCTCGACAGGTGCCCTGGTGTGGTCCTGAAGGTAAATTATTTAAAGTCCGTTTTATTCCACTGATAAGAATCAGCTGGTTGTAGAGCGATTTCTGGAGAGCGACTCACTTTCTTACAAAACTGAACTTTGACAGTTCAATCTCACAAAGTCGATGTAGATGTTAAAATTTCCATTTGTCTGAAAACTTTTCTTCCATGTTGCCTAAAAACAGAGTCATTTTTGTACATATTACATAGAATAAATGTGTAAACTCATTATTGAATTTGGCACAAAAAAGGTTTTGGTTTATACCAGCGGGATCCTTGACTTGACAGCAGTTCTGTGTGTCAGTCATAGTTTGGCTTCACTTATGTTTGTCAGGCTGAGACATTAAATACAGACAGACTGGCCGCCCCTCCTTTCTTTCTATATGGCTGCACCTTCATCCCTCTCTCAGAGAAGGAAAAGTCGAGACCTTTGAGCCATAAAGTGAAGGCCACACACCAAATGAAACATATTTTAATTTCAGTTTTTATTACACTCTTAAACCCAGGGGCAGACGTATTCCATAACCAGGGATGTAAAGGCCAATGCTGATATTTTATGCCAAATGTCAATATCTTTAAAACACAAAATGTTGAGTATTTCCTGAAAGAATTTTACTTGTAAAAGATCGAAACCCAGAAAAAGAAGTCAAATGGATACAAGCGTGTGAAAACTAGATAAAATGAATAATGTGAAAACACATCTTCCTTCCGTCGTAACTAATATCTAGTGCAGCCCTAACAAGGATTACCGTTTTCCCTGCCTCTGCACAGTTGCACTAAATCATATCTTCCTCTGCTCCTGATGTGCATCCAAGGTATGAAGAAGTTTGCAAACCACCAAACAGCTGGTGTGAATCAATCCAATCATATTGGTCAGTTCAGTTTCACCCACAAACAATGAGTAAGTTAATATTGTCATTAGATTTCTGCAGGAAGTTAATGTGTCTCTCCAAAATTTTAAATATATTGTTTTCAGATGCTGTTCCACCACAGTTTATTACAACAAACTGTATTTTTTTTTTCCATACACTGTAATCTTTTGACGCCACTGGTGATTATTTTATCACATCAACAGAACCGACCCTATCTGCTCCTGTTCTTCAGGTTTAACAGTGGAAACCAGTGAGGATGTTCGCCTGTCAGCCTCCTCTCCGCAGCCTTGAGTCTGCTCACAGTGTAATAATAATCTGGCTGTTACTGTAAATACCAGATTCCTTTTCCACTCGCGAATAACTGAGCTGTGGGGGAGTGGAAAAGTGTGTGTGTGTGTGTGTGTGTGTGTGTGTGGGGAGGATGGAGGGAAGTCCTGTCGTACCCAGAAATAAGATGTCGGATTTTAAGCACATCCCCTTCTGTTCTCCGGGTTCCGTCAATGCTGAAAAGCATTCCTCTGGCCGGCGCCGAAAACTCGCCAAGGTCACTCTGCTCAACAATCCCTGATAGCTCCCCCACTCCATCCACAGGTCGTCCATCACCCCAGATACCCGAGTACAGAGTGTAACTAAAACACGGCTGTAGTGAGCTTAAAAGCAACGTTGCACGTGCATTTCCTCACAGCTGCCACCCTCATTGGGTGTTTCCAGGCAGGTTAGACAGCAGTGGGAGGAGAGGGTGCCATGCCTCAGTTATAGTGCTCACTGTGTGTAGTATCTGGGTGTAATCCAACTAAACATGTTGAAAGTGGTTTGTTGATGGAGCGTTCACTGTATTAATTCAGTTTTTGTTTACCGCAGACCTTGAAAACTCCTGAAAATCCTGAAATGGTCTCAGACCTGAGTAGAAAATTGATGTAATTTCAGCCACTTGAGGTTTAATAGAAGAGATCTGATTTAGGCTGATAGCTGTACATAAAACTGTGATGGTCAAATTTAACTGATGTTCACAGCTGTTTCCTGCTGTGATCTTAACTGAGCACACTACAGTATAGAGCTGACGCCAAACATGCTGTAGCTCCAGCTTGAGCTACTCTGTGACTGTTAGATCTAACTTGAGTCAATTCAGGCAACATTTTCCATCCATGTTTTAACTTTTAGAACTGTTTGATATTTTGAGTTGTGAAAAAAATAATAATGTACAGTAACTGAAAGGCAAACAGGTGACACGAAGAAAACTGACAGGCAGCGTAAACAATGCAAATTTCAGATAATGCGGTTTTTCCCTTGAGAGTGCACTCGTCTGTAATATAAACAAAACTGTGTTTTAGGAAACCTCCAGAGGATACTATAGCCATCTCTAACATAGTACCTACTTATAACCATTGCTAACCTCGTGTTGTCTGTTATAGGACTCAACAACAAATATCACTGTTAACTGTTGCTGTTGGCTGCTGTGATTGAAAACACTGCTGTGCTGCTGATGGTGTAATGGTGAGCTGCCCTGGTGCTGATTGTTGGCTGGGTGTTAAATTTTTATTATACGATTCGACAATGTGGTTTATGGTCATTAGCTGTGGTTGATGTTCATCGTGTGACTTGAGGAGCATCTCCTCCATCTCCTCCACCTCCCTCACCCACTGATGTGTTTGAGTCTTCAGCAGCTGAAGATAACTCAAGCCATGTTGCTGCAAATCGTTTCACAAATACGGACTTCTGACCCATGTCAGTGCTGCTGGTATTGGTTTATGGATGAATACTATCGCCCTGGCATATAAATGGTCCAGTTTAAAGTTTTAAGTACTAATACTGGTACATACGTTTATATATTGTATCTGCCTCAGTCGGCTTCCCAACTTGCTGTGTGTTGTGGTGAAAACTGTTGTGTTAAAATCATATTCTCATGGATGGATGGACGGACACAATTACAAACTTAATGCCTACTGGGAACATCCATTATATGCAACAGGCTGCAGGTCTCAGGGCAATGGTCAAAGGTATCAGTGCCACTTTGGAAGGTCGTCTGTAAATTAGTGCAACACAAAGTAGTTTTCAATGTTCTGTGGATACGTTCTTTTCATCTTTTGATGAGCACACTTTCTCACCCGCCTTTTAAATGTCAGTCAATCACAAAGATTTAGGAAGGACAATCTCTGTCAATAAAAAGCTGTCAAATTTTTACCACTGCCCCATGCTCGATATTTGAGGCTGATGTTGATGATTTTGCCCAGGTACGTGCTCTCTGGTGCACAAACTGTATAATGGCTTCACTACATATGCATTTCTGCATATCTTTTGGGATTTCTGTACTGTAAACGAAAATAATAAGACAAAGCTGAGGCACTCAGCAACTTTTCCATTATTTATTAATATGCAGATTATTTCCTTGATATTTTAATTCATTGTTTTGTCTCTAAAGTGTCAGAAATATGAAACAAATCCCATTTCAATTTCCCAGAGCCCAACATGACTAATTCTAATTGCATATTTTACACTGTCCAACACACAAATGCTTGTTTATTACTGTCATACATGGCAAATAAAAGCATAAAACATCACATTATAGAAGCTGGAACTAGGTAATGGATGGCATTTATGTTTCACAATGACATTAATCAACTAATCGTTTCAGCTCTGCTTTGCCTCCATCAGTTCCAGTATTTTCCTTTATTAGACATCAGTAAGAGATCACAGTTAGTTCTACTGTAACAACAGATGAGTAAAAACTCCTTACTTGGCACCTTTTAACAGTTTTAATTTAATTTTGTATTATAATTTAATCATTTATAACTGTTTGAAGAAAAGTAAGAAGCCCAATAACAACCTCAAAAGAAGACTAAACTACTAAAGAAGTGGTGTAATTTTTTTGGAGGACGGTACAGCAGTTGATGGGACAGACCTGTCGGGCAGGTAGACGATGACAGGTAAAATTACCGGCACTGTAATCAGCCTGTCGATTCTGCTGAAGCTTCTCGCTGATCGGCTGCTCTGTGAGCCAGAGGCAGCTCCATCCAGCTCCTCCCGCTCCCGTGTAATCTGTCCACCTCTTCAATTCAGCACAACTCTTCGGCCCTCGGCAGCTCCTTGTTGGCTTTGTGAGGCTGAGAGAATGGAGGTATAGAGGCTGGCTAATGGTTTTGCTGGGGGTCTTTGTGTTTTGGTATGTGCTTCTGGCTGGGTGCCTTGTTCTGAGGGGGAGTAGCTCCTTTGTACACAGGGAATAAACAGGGTTTCGATACACTGGTCTGCTAACCACTCTCTGGAGAAACATTGTATTCTCATTCATGTTCGTGTCTCGCTGCATGCAGCACACTCGTGATGTTCCTTGTTGCTGACACGTGCTTTGTTGAAGCGTAATAACAATGTGTGCCCTCTGGAACCTTTTTATAGATGGATGTGTTGAAACTGATGTTTCTTTTTTAAGTGCAGCTCCAACAAAGATATTTGTGTTGGTGGAGACAGACTTCGACCTTATCTTCTGGTCTGCAAAGGTGGTAGATGTGAGCTACATTTAAGGTCAGACACAGAGTATCGTTGTGTATCAGTAGGTTCATATTCATGTGGGAGCCCGTTACTGTGAGACAAACACACAGAGTTTCTCTGTTTGACCGGACTCTGCGGGGGTTCGAGGTTTTTTTATTCATAAATCACAACGCTGTGTCAATATATGACAACATTTTTTGGATAGATGTTTAAATGTATGTATTAAAACGCCTTGTGTAAATAACTGAATGAAGTCCACACATCCAGTATTTACATGTATTTAAGTTTGGACTTCCGGTGATGCCCCTGAACGATTCAAACATGTGCAGAGTGGAAAAAGATTAATGTATTGCCAAGTTTATAAGCAACGAGCAACCAGGAAGGTCAGGGGTTAAAGCTGTGGTGCCTTGCATAGATCATGAAATAAAATATTATATAATTTAAATAATAAGAAATGACTCTTAAAGCCAGAACACAATGACTAGGATGACGTGGCTGCAGCAATAGATCA